AACACTCTAGAACCTTGTTGTTTTGCTCCCTTTCTACCTCTCTTATTCATCTCTCTTTTGCTTTTTATGCAGTTCTGAATATTCATAGATATCTAGAGTTCTCTTGGCTGGTGGTCCTACATTAGCCTCTAAAGGGAACATGTTGGGCCTGTACTCACCCGAGTAGCTTTTTGAACACCTCCCACTGTTCTACTGTAGATTTACCGTCAAGTAACTCTTCCCAGTCTACTTCGGCCAGACTGACCTTGTTTTAATAAAATCTACCTTGCCCCCATCGAAAATCTTTTTTTGAGGACTGTCTTTCTCACTTTCATTAACAAACTTAAAATATATGGTATTGTGATTGCTTTAACTACAACACTCCCCACACTGTTACCTCAAACACCTGTTCAGCTTCTTTCCCCAGAATTAGGTCCAGCACTGCAGTGTCCTTTTTTGGGACCTTCTACATATTGATGTAAAAGCTCTTTTCTATATTTTTCAAGAAATCTGTCTCTCAACGCCTTATATTATGATTATCCCAATTAAGATTGGTGTACTGTTTTTGAAATCCCCTAATATAATTACTCTGTTATTGTTTTTACATGTCTTAGTGAATTGACTATATATTTGTTCCTCTATTGCCTACTGACTAGGGGTCTATAATGCACTCTTAACACTATGATTGCCCCTTTTTTATTCCTACGTTGTGCCCACAAAGTCTCATTTGATGACCCTTCCAAGCTATCATCCCCACTTAAATTAATCCCGTCTGGTCTTCAGTAGGGAGTGGATTTCCTGGTTCATCAAAGGTTTCCAGCTGGGGAACACTCGGATTGACTTCTTTGGTACACAGCCCTCCATGCATTTGTTAATGAAGTCCATAACGGTGGTGACGTACTCATCTAAGCTTTCTGCTGAGTATTTGAACACGGTCCAGTCTATTGATTCCAAGCAGTCACGGAGATACTCTTCCACAGCCTTGGACTAGCATTGTACTTCCTTTTGACACCTACATCAGACTCCTGCTCATTGACTACAGCTCCGCCTTCAACACCATTATCCCCTCCAGACTGATCTCAAAAATCCGAGACCTTGGTCTCAGGTCCACCCTCTGCAACTGGATCCTTAGCTTTCTGAGCCACAGACTACAATCAGTGAAGATAGATAACTGCACCTCCTCCACAATAACACTCAACACTGGAGCCCCCAAAGGATGCGTTCTCAGCCCCCTACTGTACTCCCCGTACACCCATGACTGTGTTGCCAAATTCTGAATCTTCAAGTTCGCTGATGACACCATTCTGTTAGGATAAATCTCAGACATCGACAAGGCAGAATACAGAAAGGAGATGGAGGGCTTGGTGACCTTGTGCAATGATAACAACCTCTCTCTCAACGTCGGCAAAACTAAAGAACTGATCATTGACTTGAGAAAGACGGGAGGAGAACATGCCCCCATCTACATCAACAGAGCAGACTTTGAGAGTTATTAAGTTCCTAGGAGTGACGATAACTGACAACCTGCCCTGGGCTTCCCATGCAGATACGACAGTCAAGAAGGCACAACAATGCCTCTTCTTCCTTAGATAGCTCAGGAAATTCAGCATGTCCATAAGGTCCCTCACCAACTTCTGTAGAAGCGTAACTGAAAGCATACTGTCCGGGTGCATATTGGCCTGGTCTGGCAACTGCTCTGCCCAGGACCATAAGAAACTACAGAAGGTGATGTGCACAGCCCAGACCATCACAGAAGCCAACCTTCCATCCAGTTACAGGGCTTGCTGCTGTGGAAAGGTGGCCAACATCAAAGGCCCATTGCATCCCGGTAATGACCTCCTACAACCTATTCCATCAGGGAGAAGATACAGAAGTCTGAAAACATGCACTAGCAGGTTCAGGAACAGCTTCTTCCCGGCCATTATTAGACTGATGGATGGACTCTCTAGCCTCCATTAATGCTGATCTCGCTAACATTGACCTTGCTGCCACTCTGTGCAATGTAACCTGTATGCCTCTAAGTCTTTTTGATCTGTACATCCTTGCTTACTATGATCTGCCTGTACAGCTCGTAAACAAAGCTTTTCACTGTACTTAGGTACACGTTACAATAAATCACTCAATCTAACTAATAAAGTGAACACCATCTTCAGTTCTGTATCCTCTGCCTCCTGCCTGAAAATCTTATACGCCAGAATGTTAAGTTGCAAGTCTTGTTGCTTCCTGAACCATGTCTTCGTGAGAGTAGCAACATTTCAGTTCCATGTGTTCAATCCATACCCTAACATGTCTTACCTGTAATACACTTGGCATTAAATTAAAGGCCATCCAGCCTTACTTTACTCCTTGGAGACACAACTGAACTTGATCTGCCTTGGTTCCTTTTTGCAGTTATACTGTTTCACTATTGACTGAATGCACTGTGACTCCTGCCCCTGCTGAACTAGTTTAAACACTTCCCAACAGCATGAGCAAACCTTCCCACAAGAATGTTAGTCCCATTCTGGTTCGGGTGTAGACTGTCTCAATTGCAGAGATTCTACTTTCCCCAAAAACAGGTCCTGGTCACTCAGGATTGGTTGAACAATTTGCTACCACCTTCAGTAAGAAGTGCATTTTAATTTTGTGTTTAGCTCTTAATACTGTCTATGCAGAATGTCATTCCTAGTTCTACCTACGTAATTGGTACCTACATAGACCATGAAAACTGAATCTTCCCCTTCCAGGTACAAGTCCCTTGCCAGCCTGAGCATGTGTCTCAAACACTGACACTTCTGGCAGGAATTACAGCTGTCTGGAGCCTCACTCTTTGTTGGAGAAAATGGTGGTAATCCCCTTATTGCCACCACTTTCTTGTTGTTTCTATCACTCAAATGCCACCCCCTCCATACATTGGCACTATAGTTAGTTTGCTTATTCATCTTTTAGCCCCATTTTCAGCCAATCAAGCTGAGAAAACTTCAATCCTATTGGACACTGATACTCCTGCATGTCCACCCTCTGGATCCACTTGTCTGCCTCACGTACAATCACACCCTCCTGTCTTTGACCACTTACTAAATCAGCAGGCCCTATCCTAAATGGTGTGACAGATTCCCAGTACAAATAATCCTTGTAATTTAGCCCCTCCCTGCATAGTAGTGTCCGCAGTTGAACCTCCAACTCATAAACTCTGAGCAAAAGCTACTTGAAATTTAAACACTTTCTACAGATGTTTGCCCTAGATCACAACAGAATCTAGCAGCTCCCACATGCTGCAGCCTTTACAGATCATAAATCCTGCTATCCTTAATGAGCATAATTAATTACCATCAACTTGTACACTGTTTTAAAACAGAACACATACCAGATATGCACCAAACTAGCTCCTTTCTTTGTAGTGGAGCAAAATCAATTCCTAAATGGCAGAAGTATTAAAAACCTAAAGCTAAAGCAAAAGAACACAAACAAACACTTTCTCCTCCTCTCCATCTTCATCAAACTGCCCATTTTAAATAAAAACTCTCAACATTGCACACAATTTCCTTGATGCATTTGTTTTCCTCTGGCTGCACTAAAGATCATAATTTTTAGGAACTGAATGGGGATTAGAGACACCAGATTTAACCATTTAGCTAAAATTTCAAGTTTATTTGCATAGTACTTCCCATTTATCGCTAATTACTGACTAGATTTGATTTTAAGAACTGAGTTTAAAAACAAATATTAACACAAACTCCTCACTCACCAAACTCAATTGTTCAGTTTCCTCAGCTACAAAATATCACCTGCCCTTCCAACTTTATGGTGTCATAATTAGTTAAATAATTTATTTATTAATTAAATTTAACTAATGCCTTCAGTTCTGTCTGTGCTTTTTTATCTTCCTTATTTTGTTTAGTATTCTACTTACACTTATTGAAATTCCTTAGTTTGCCGGATTACTATTAAACACCTACCTGTTTCCAGAGATTGGTTTTTCTTTCTGTAATCTGATTCAGAACTGACAATTGGCGGCTCCTGTATACCACAGTCCTGTAAACCCTCCTCCATGATCTTATTGAATGGAGGAGCAGGCTCGAAGGAGCGAGTGGCCTACTCTTTTTCCTTGTTTGTATGTTTATGTGTACTCCCGTCCATATATCCCACTTTCCTGTATTTGGCCTCTCTTCCTGTATACTCCAGTCTTATATAGCTTACTTCTATATATCCCACTTATGTATACCTAATTTCTGTATCCCTAACTCCCACAGACCTCAGTTCAGTCTACTGTGCTGTCTTCCTGTATATCTTAGTATTCTCTGTAATCTGTTCACCTCCTATATATCCAATTCCTTTATATGCTGTCCTCACTATTTATACTCCACTCTCACTGAAATCTCTCTCTTTATACTCCCACTAACGCGTCTTTCTTTACAGCCCCACACTCACCTTGCTGGAGTCTTGCTTGTTTCATCCCTCTATACTCTCTCATAGCTCACTGAGTCCCAGCAAAATTGAAGTCAATGGGACTGAGGGTGAAATCTCTGAACCTGTTGGAGTCATATCTAACTCAAAGGAAGATTGTCGTGCACAGGCAGGTCTGACCAAATGTGTCTTGTTCATATCCAGGTTGAATTACTGCTGTATGTAGTACACAATGTTTAGAGATCACTGGTTCACAGAAATCAATAGTAAATCCTCAGCTGTCACCCTTCAGGAATTGGGCTATGTAACAAGTGAATGGGGCACTCAAAGGAAAGAACACATATACAGTCTATTATCTGTATCATGTCAATAACTTGTCATGGCTGGAACTTTACTTTTGAACAAATCACATCCTTTTTCGTGAAAAAAGACGTATACTTGAAGCCTCTAAAGAAACAATAATATTCTGGTTTTAAACCTCTGAGGATTAGGTTCTGATTACTGTTCTGTGTCTGCTGTGCAAAGAAAGCGGCATTGCCACATTTACATAAACAACACAGGAAATCAGTCATTCACCGTTGCCATGGTAGCACTGGGGAAATCCATTTTATTAAAGTTCACTGTGCCCCTCTTAGGAACATTGCAAACAAAGAGCTGGAATAACAGAAGTAGACCGGGTGCAGATATAATAGAATAACTCTGGGTTTTAGTATGGGCAGTCTTTGCTGCTGATGTTGGTCTAGCTGGTAGTCTTGTTCAGGAAGCGCCCCTTCATTGCAGCAGCTGGGAAGAATATCAAAGTCACACAGAGGTTTCTGTTAGTGAGGGTGGAGGGAAGCAAGCCCTGAGAATGATTTTATCATTTATTTAATATTTCAGACGCCTAGATGAATTCCTTTGATTACTTCACCTAATGCTTCAAGTGAAGCTCAGAGAGCAGAGCATTGGTTGTAAAGTGTGGTGGAATTGCCACAGAAATAAGCTGGTGAAAGGAACAGTTGTAAGGAGGGAAGCACAAGGCATACAAGAGAGAAGGGCTAAATGAGAGAGAAAAAGAGGCAGAGAAGGGGAAGTTACAGCAGCTAGAAAGGGGAGGAAGTGGGAGACCTGCTGCTTCCTGTAGACAGAATGATGATTGAAGACAAAGCTGGGTGTGGACTCGTCTCACAGGGCTGCTGCCTACACAGCTGGTAAGCTTGGATTCTCCTGCATATTTAACCAATTTTAAGAAGAGAAGAGTGAATATCTGTTCACAGTTTAATGAACAAGGTAAATTAGCCTTTTTTCTTTCCTGGTTTTAATCCTACACTGAGGAATTTTGTTGATTACTGTATTTTTTTTGTCAAAATAGACTTGATTGTATTTGGGACTACAGATGTTAAAGATCTGTGTGTATTTCACAAACCGATACGATCAACAACTGTACAATAACTATTATTGATTATTTTATAGTGTTGGTGCTAAGAAAATGTAATGCTTTTAGTCTAAAAGCTTGCAGAAACCAAGTATGTAGCTGTTAGCAAGGAGAAGAATAGCTGTCCGCTGTGAAGGAAGGTAGAATGATTTAATTTTAATTCATTCAGTGTGATTGGGAATTTGTGCTATATCACTTAATGCCGATTGTAAATTTTATACAAAACAACACACAACAACAATCAGCAGCTCAGTTCTTCTGATAACACAGTATACCACAGAGGAGTCAGTATGGATTTTGCTGTATGATTTTTTTCATGTTCATATTCTCATTGTAGCTAAATGTCTGTATTTATAAAATCATTCTTCAAACCAAAACGCATAAAATAACAGAACAGTAGAGTAATAATACTTATAATAAAGAAATTTTTTAATATCAAAATTACTGTAATTCTGAGAGCTGTTGAGATGACTACACAGGGCAATGCAAAATCAACCAGTTTTTTTTCCATAATATCACAGCATCTGCATTGAAAAGTCCATCATATAGAAAAAAGGTGTTGATTTGGTTGCCAGTAATAGCATTTAATTAGTAACTACGAATGCTATTTTTATATGCTGTGAAATCACATGACTTATTTAGACTGCACCTCCTCCATTTTATTGAAGAAAATGTAGATACCTTAAAATTAATTCAGAGTGATTCATAGCTGTATACTACATTAATGCTTTTGAATTCTATAGGACTGTGTCTTGAAAGATGATAACTAGGCATTGAAGAAAGGATAGTTTCTGATGTGAAATACCAGTCAAATAATTTGAAGTAAAAGCAGAACATGCTAGAAATATTCAGCAAGTCAGGGAGTGTCCATGGAGTCATACACCCGAAACTCTCCACAGCTTCTCTCCACAGTTTTCTCTTCACAGCTGGTACCTGACAAGCTGAACATTTCCAGTTTTCTTTTAAATATTTTATCTCAGGTTTCCAGCATCTGCAGTATTTTGCATTAGAGATAAATAACGTGTTCTCGTTACTTTATGGAAATCCGCAACCATTGAGAATTTTACATTTTTACTAGTGAGCTGTATTGTGTGTTATAGGTCATACAATTCCCAAACATATGAAAAAACAAATATTAAATATTGCAGACAAACTTGTATCATAGTAGCCTAAGTTTTATATAGCCGCTAATTGGCTTTTATTGTTGTGTAATTTGAGACTTGTTTAATCAATTGGTTCCATGTTCAGTCTTAATGTGCTCAGGGGAATGCAACAGTTACGCAAATGTGAACCAGTTGGGAAATTATACACACAGTAGTCTCTGAAAGTTTACAGCCCAATGGGATTTCCATTGCCCCTCCTAATCTGAGAAAGAGATTTTCTGTTGCCTGTTATAATGATAGACACTTCAGAGTCAAATTTCTGTTTTTGACAGTACATTCCCTACGATCAGTCTGTTACATGGAAATATTAGTGAAATCCAATAAGCATTTGATCTTAACATTTAAATCAGCTGCCAGATTTAGCCTGCTGTCAAAAGTTTCTTTTCTAATGTTTAGACATGTTAACTGGACTAGATTATTGACCAACACTACTTATTAAGTTATTCCTTCATGTTACGTTGTTAACTGAATTATGAATCCAATAATTAAACTGTAGCACTTATTTCATTGTCACAAGGAGGTGCAATCTGATATAGATACCAATACAAGGAGTCTACAACTATGGCCTCCCATTGTCCATCAATTGTTCATTCTGTATTGATGAATAAATCACCACCAGGTGTTTGAATTGAATTAGATATGATCACAATGGTTCATTTATAGAAGTACAGATGTTGCCTTTGACACAATACCATCCTGTTTGATTGTAACTGGTACCACTCTCACTCATTACTTTAGTGCCATTTTCAACAACAATAGTATTAGTTCATAGTCAGAGTTATTTACATTCAAGAATAAATTGAATGTTGGAAAATGATACCATATTATAATAGTTTTGTGTATACAATGATCAGTGTATACTTTTTTTTATTGTAAAACAGATAAGTTTAAAACAAAGAAGAGCCACACCCTAATAAGTGCTTTTAATCTAAATGCAGAAATTGTTGTGGCAGAAATAGACATTTTTAATGGTCATAAGATGCATCACACTACATGGATTTATATAGGAAAACAAAGAGCATAGGACTCAGAAACAGCCATTTGGTCCAACCAACCCTATCCAGAGGTTATTTTTAATTTTTATTCATTTATATTCCTATATTTCCTCATTTAAATCCAACTCTATAAACCTCGATTCTCTTCTCCCCTCATACTTTTTGCTTCATCACTCCATGAGGTATTGAGTTCCACAGTCTCATTACTCATTGGTTAAAGAAGTATATTCTGAATTGTATATTAAATTTCTTGGCTACTGTTTCATGTTGGTAGTATGTATATTATGCCTTCCCACAAGCGGAAACTTCTCTTTGCATCCGCTCGATCAAAGTCTGATGTAATTTTCGACCTCTATTCTCAGCATTCTTTCTTCAAGAGAAAAGAGACCCAGCCTACTCAACCATTTTGATATATCTCCCCATGCATTTTATTGTCATTATTTGCTGCTTCTCCTGTACCTCAATTTTTTTTGTAAATATAGTACAGAACTGCCTGCAGTACTTAATGTGGTATAACTAAGGTTTGACACAGGTTGAGCACAGCTTTCTCACTTTTCAATTCTACTCCTCTAGAAATAAAGCCTGTTGCTTGGTTTGTCTTCTCGAAGCCTTGCTAAAGGGCAGTGCAACTTTTGTACTGATATATTTGTATGCCTTGAATCCTTTTCTCCTCTTTCTCCAACCTACGCTGTCCAGGTTTTATTCTTCCCACCACAATGTACTACTTCACATTTATGTGTTGGGCTTCATTTGCAAATGTTTACCCATTTTGCAGATTTATTAACTTCTTCCTGCAACTTATGTCAGCCCTCCTCCGTATTGACTACCAATCCCCTCTCACAATTTGATGTAGTTTGCAAATTTAGAATAGGATGAACACAGCAGGCCAAGCAACATCAGAGGAGCAGGAAGGCTGACGTTTCGGGCCTAGACCCTTCTTCAGT